CCATGGGCCGCGCTCCCCTCAGGCCGGGAATGCCGGGGCTGACGCGGGTCCCTGCCCGGCCGCTCCCCGAGGGCGGCCCCCGCACCGCGCGCGCGCCGCGCCGTGTCCGCACGCGGCCGCCGTAGCCGGCGCACGTGTCCCCGCCGGCCGCGTAAGTGACCCCGGGAGGGGCCGGGCCGCGGGTTCGGGGCTGCGCTGCTCCCCACGGCCCCTCACGGCCCCTCGCTGCCCGGGGCGATGCTGTGCTGGGCGCTGCGCGTCCACAGCCGCGGCCTCTCCGCCCCGCGGCCGTGCTGGCGGTGGCGCACCGTGGGTACTGCCGGGCCCTGCCCTGCGCTGGGGACGGGCCGGGCCGGCGGCGCCGCCTCGCCCCGTGCCCCCCTCACCCCGCCGGCCTCTCCAGCGGGCTCCCCGCTCCTCCCGGGGATGGCGACGCGGCCGGGGGGGAGCGGGGTGCGCGCCCTTCCTGCCCCCGGCCGGGCCGTCCCCCCCGGTTGTGCCCCCGCCGGCGCTCTCACCGCAGCCCCGTCCGCTGTTGTGTCCCCGCAGGTTCGTACCATGGCTGAGGGGCCGAGGGCAGCGGTCGCCGGCCAGACAAAGAGGCTGAGCAGCGGCGCTGAGGTGGCTGAGAGGCTGGAAGAGAACGGGCATCAGAACAAAAGGTTGAAGGGAGGTGCGGATGGGGAGGGTGCGGAGGATCAGGGTAAGAAGTCGCCCAAGAGGAAGATTGTGCTGCTGATGGCGTATTCAGGGAAAGGCTACCATGGGATGCAGGTACGTGGTTTGACTAAGCAACTTGGGCTGCTTTTTTCTTTAAAGTCTGTTAGGTTTAGTTACTGGATAGAGAAGTAGTTGCAGCGTGAAAAGCTGGGGCAGGAACAGCGTATGCCTGGATGCAAATGGCTTGGTAGCAATTTGATTTAAAACAGTCGGTGGTGCATCTCTGATATTTGGTGATTCCAGTGAGTTTGCCTTTAATGTAGAGCATCAGCAGAAGATCTTTGATGAACTGCTGCAAACAAGGCTCCTGAGGACACTGGAAGCATGGGCACTACAGTTGTGATAAAACCTTTGGTGCTGTCTGGTGGCCTCCTTCTCACCAGTGCTCCAGGTTCTGGCTGAAGCTTTACATCTCAGAGCAGCCGGGCTAAATTTCTTTTGGGTTAGACCTAAATGTGTCTCACAACATGCAGATTCCAGACAACTGAGCTGTGTGTTTGAATGAAATAAATTTGCATCTCTGTTACTGTCTCTTGCACTTCTAAAATAATAATCTGCGCTTGAAGACGTTTTAAGCTCTCCTTTTCCTGGTGCACTCTAATGAGATGGGGCTCGTAGGAGTTTAGAAACAGGAAAGCTGTTGCAAGGCTTTTGTGTTGGCATGTGGCAGGAAAGGGTCGGTGCTTTGTCACAGCAGGGTCGTCTGTGGCCCAGTGATGGCAGCGAGAGGGTGATGCTGCTCCATCTGCTGCTCCCCTCCGCGTACTGCAAGCTCCATGCACTTGGGGAATACTTGAAAAGCTCCTCGGGATGAGTGATAAGATTGCACACAGGGACGGAGCCTTTCATGCTTATGCAACCAAGTGGGTTTGTTCAGCAGCAGTAAAGCACCTTGTGCTTAGGGGTGGTGCCCGTGAGCTGTGCTGCTCTTGTAACTCAAAGTGGCCTGTGAGGGTGAGCTCTGCAGCTTCACACACCAGTGGAGTTGTGCATTTCTGTTACAGCTCATTTGAGAGTGGCACACAGAAGTCACTGGAGAAAACCACAGGCTGCATTCTACAGCAGCTCAGGTGAACTGAGCAAAAGAACCCAATCTAATTTCTGGAAACAGAATTTGCACAGGCTGGGTTTGGAGCAGCAGCTGTTAATTTGCAGGCATTGGGAGTGTGTTTCATTTGTGCTGTGTAGTTGAAGGAGTCATCAAAAAACTCTAGAAGTATTGCACAGTGAAATTAGAAATCATTCTTTACTTGTAATAACAGTAACAGCTAAATCAGAATGATGTTTTATTAACACTCTCTGGTATAGTTAGTTTTGTTAGAGAACAGCAGTGCTCTGAGGGCTGTGAAGGGAAGGCGTTTGAAGAGTTTCACAGCAATGTTTGATTAACAGATTTTTTCAGTTATCATCTTCAGGTATCCAATCATTCCTATTTGTTCTGTTTCTTATTTTTACTAAATATCCTGTTTTAGAGAAACGTGGGATCTTCACAGTTCAAGACAATTGAAGATGACTTAGTGTCTGCCCTCGTTCAGTCAGGCTGCATCCCAGAGAACCACGGGGAGGATATGAAGAAGATGTCTTTCCAGCGGTGTGCTCGAACAGATAAGGTACCTTGGTCAGGGGCTGTGCTCCCATAAACTCTGCTCTTTACACACCAGTGCTGCTGGGATGGACTGGTAAAGTCTGGAGTGCCACCCAGTACCAAGTGCTGTTCACAGTCAACGTTGCTTGAAAATTCTCCTTTCGTCCACTCTTAAATACAATCAAATATTTAGAAAGCGCAGAATATTGATTAGATGGTGTTTGTAAAGCTGGTGCTTCTTACCTAAACTTTGTGTTTCTGGCATTTTCACCTCCTTTAGCTTCCCAAACTGCTGCTGCTCATTGTTGCTGCCTGGCTGTGGTGCTTGAGAGTTTAGCTGCACCTCAGCTGTTTCTAATTCTCCACAGTGGGGTTCTGCATCTGAGCTAGAGTCCATGTATGAGTTGTATATATAATTGCTTTTCAGTTGGTGCTGTACTCAATAGCAGTGAAGCACAGTGAGATGTCACAGAAGGAGGGCAGTGTTCTGCTTTCTGAGGTTGCTCAGGTGCTCTGTGGCTGTGCAGCACCAGCAGGTTTTCTTGGAGTATTCTGTGTTGGATTTCTGCCTGTGGCCTTGCCTTTGCCTCACTTCAGCCTGAAAGGACCAGGGAGAAAAAGAAATAAACTTGTTCTTCAGCTATTTCAGTTCTGCAAGTGCTGTCTCAGAGTTTCCATGGTACATAACTGTGTGGGTTTGTGTGTTTTATGGTTTTTATAGGGTGTGTCTGCAGCTGGACAGATTGTGTCGCTGAAGGTCAGGCTGATAGATGACATCTTAGAAAAGATCAATAATCATCTTCCTTCTCACATCAGAATTCTGGGTAAGGACACTGGAATGGTCAGGGAAAATGTTTTCAAAGAGAAGCTTTCTCCTGCAGAAGGTCTCTCCCTTGCCATTGTAATTTTACTTACAAGTGGTTTAGTTTTTAACATGTTTCATTTAGCTTGAAATTAGGGTCCTCAAAAATAAATCTGTCTTTTTTTTGTACTTCATTTAAAAATTATTCATGTTGGTAGGAGTGAGATCACAGTCAGTTTGTAACCCACTGATTCAGAATCCTAACACCACTTTTAAAACCAGGCCTGAAGAGAGTCACTGGGGGATTCAACTCCAAGAACAAATGTGATGCCAGAACCTACTCTTACATGCTGCCAACATTTGCCTTTGCCCACAAGGACCATGATGTGCAAGAAGAGGTTTATAGGCTGGACAAAGAGACCCTCGACAGGGTCAACAAACTGCTCTCGTGCTATAAAGGGACACACAACTTCCACAACTTCACATCCCAGAAGGGCCCCAGGGACCCCAGTGCCAGGAGGTACATCATGGAGATGTACTGTGGAGAGCCCTTTGTCAGGGAGAACATGGAGTTTGCAGTGATCAGAGTGAAGGGTCAGAGCTTCATGATGCACCAGATCAGGAAGATGATCGGGCTGGTGATAGCCATTGTGAGGGGTTATGCTGCTGAGTCCATCCTGGAGCGCAGCTGGGGAGAGGAGAAGGTGGATGTCCCCAAAGCCCCGGGCCTCGGGCTGGTTTTGGAACGAGTGCACTTTGAAAAGTACAACAGGCGCTTTGGGAACGATGGGCTGCACGAGCCGCTGGAGTGGACGGAGGAGGAGGAGAAGATTGCTGCTTTCAAAGAGCAGTACATCTACCCCACCATCATCAACACAGAAAGGGAGGAGAAATCCATGGCAAACTGGCTCAGCACCCTCCCCATTCACGACTTCAACTCGTCTGCTGTTGAGATGCAAGCCAACAACAAAAATTCAAAGGTAATGATGGAAGCCATTATTTTATCAAATGGAAGCTGTCAAGTTGAAATGTCTCTTCCCCTGGTAACATTTTTGTTTTCCATGAATATGCCCTGGAAGATGACAGTCATCTGGCACGTGAAATGTGTATTATCTTTTCTGTCTTTGTGCACTGCATGACAATTGAATGCACTGCACAAAGTGTTGTTTTCACAGGGTTTTACACGTGGCAGTGGAGGAGGGAGGAAGGAATGCTTCAAGCACAGGCCAGTTTGCAGGATCATAAACTGACAACAGAGATGATGGGCATTGCCAGCCTTTGCTGTTGTGAAACTGTTTGGGAGACCAGGTTTCATACCTGCTGCCTTTTGGTATTCTCTTATTTTTGGGTTAATTTTCACTTTGTGTAATTCCCTGTTTACTATGTTTGGGAATCAGGGAAATTTAGGACCAGCTTTTTAAAGTAAATCTGCCATGAGCTCAAAATGGGCCGTCAGAACAACTACTGAGTAAATGGAATATTGTGGATTTGGATTTCTGACAACAGGAGCTGCTGGCAACTGTAAGGTGCAATAAAACAAAGGCATAGAATACATTTTAACAAAAAGGAAATTTCGGTTAAAGTTTGGGTTTTTTTCTAGTTGAGATGTAAAATAGTCTCACAAGAAAAGTGTGGAAAGATGTCTGGCTTGTGCTAGAGGTAGGTTGGAAACCACACAAGGAATCTCAAGGCAAACTCAAAAAGTATTTCTTAAAATTGACAACCATTGGAGTGACTTAAAATACAACAGTGCTTGATTGGACAAGTCCCTGATCAACCCAGTCTAACTTTGAAACAAGTCCTGCTTGAGTGGAGGGTTGGACTCATGATCTAAAGATACTTTACAGTTCCACATGTAATTCAAATTGTCTTGGTCATAGGGCTGGCAAATCCTTAAAGGATGAATGATGGGCAGGACTAAAACTTCTGTGTAGTGCAACTCAGAAGAAAATAGTGACCCTTTTTCATTTAACATTTAACTTTTTCATTTAACAGTCGTTAAAATTAGCTTTATTTTTTTGTAGATAATGATCCTGCCCTGAAGAATGTTAGGTTTAATTATGTCCCTGCCAATTTTTTGCTTGAGTGTGAGAGTTTCAGCATATAAAATAAAACTTAACAGCCTCATTGAATAGCACAAGCAAGACACCAGCATTTTCTCAGGGTTATTTTTGTAGTTGCAGTAATTGTTTGTCTGTGTGAGGACATTTGTGAGGACAGGTTGTGACAAATGCTGCATCAGTTTGGTTGAATAGGACCCAAAGAGACCAAGTGGTGCAGAGGGTCCTTACCTGGCTCAGGGTGTTGGTTTTGGTGTTGGCAGGACTTGGTGCTGCCAGATTCCCAGTCTCTGAAGTATTCCTGGGGGAGGCAGGTCTGCTCACTGCAGATAAACTCCACCAAGAAGGGTTTTGGCATCACAGTCAGCACAAACTGTCTGGAGAGGGATAAATAAGGGATGATATGACAGATCCTCTGAGATTTTGCAGGCTGTTTGCACTTCAATGAGCTGTGCTTGCTGTTACGAAGTCAACTGTCTCAGTGTCTCAGAATTTGGTTTGTAGTAGGATATTAAACTGTCAGTGTTAAATTCATGGGATTTGAGGTTTGTTTTCAGCAATTGGTGGTGAAGGAAAAAAGGAGTAACTACAGGCATACAGTCATGTTAGCTTTTCTTTATGAAATCCTTTGTTGTCAGTCATATCAGTTAAAATACTTGCTTCAAGATACATAAACCCCCCACATTTATTGCACCATGTGGACCTGGTCCTGCAGGAGTGGCTCCCAGTTAAGAACTCTGACTTCAGTTTCCTTGTGAGTTGCCAACATTTGTAGTATTTCCCTAATACCACTTTGTACAACTGGCTTGACTTTTTTAGTAGTGTCAGTGAGCCCTTGCATATCTGTAATACAGGTCAGACATAAACTCTGTAGCAAATAAAATTCTCAAATCTGGCTTTAGACCTTTTGTAACAAATTTGGGTTTCGAGGGACTTGCATAAAAAACCACTTAATTCGTCTCAGATGCATTTATTTTAAATGTCAACATTTCACACTATTATCCCACTTTTGAGTTTCCCACACACTCAGGTTGTAATCATGGAGTTGTGAATGTGAGAAGAAATTTCTTCTGCTGGTGAGTGTGTTCCAATGTACATAATTTACCACCACAGATGTTTATTACAGTATATGGGTCTAAGACTATTTTCTTACACTTTTGGAGCAGTTGAAAGTCAATATCTCTGATTTAAGTCAGTCTGTAGATGTAAATGCAGTGCTGACAGACCATTTTCCATTTTGCTTTACAGAACAGCAGCGATCTCGAAGGCAGTGATGGTTGTGGTGATGATTCTGACTGAGCCAGCGTGGCTGGATGTGGAACCCTTTGCTGCTTAAAGTTCCCTTTGTCTACAAAAAAAGTGGCCTTTCAAAATCCAGGAATCCAGTAAAGCAGGAGTTTGTGTGCTTGCAGAACGAGAACTGGATGCCCAGGACAATCTGGGTGGGGAAGACAGTGCAGTAGAAAAAACAGAAGGTTTTTATACCACTGACCAATTCACCTGACTGATATACTTGAAAACAGTTCAAGGAGAAAGAAGCTTTCTAAAAGAATCTTGAAATGCAGGATATCATAATTGCTATTTGAATAATGGTTTTATTATGTTTACTTGGAAAATAGTATTTTAAATATGTATAACTTCTACATAAAGATGGGGCAGATCATTTTAATATACTCTTTTTTTTATTATGAAGTTATGATTCCATGAGCTTTTGATTGTTTGTTTTTTTAATCATTCACCTTTACTTACCTGAATCTCTAAACACCGTTAAGCTTTTATTTTCCATGTCATCCATGATTTTCCTGTGGAATAACATGCATGGGTTAGGAACTCATGATCATGTTGACTGCTGTGAACCCTTTGCTATTGAAACATGTATTCTGTGTTTTTTAGAGCTGTGTGAGCCTAAAAGAAATTATTCCTTATTCAGGGAGAGGGTTCATTTTGGAACGGGGACTGATCCATACATTCCAAGATGGGACCTTTTCTGTGGGAGATGTTATCCTGCCAGTGTTGCCCTTGTCCTTGGGCAGATCCAGGGATACAGATCCACAGTTCCTGGTGCAGTTGGGCCTCTACTGCCTGTATTTATTGCCTGTATTCACACACCTGTATTGAGATGTGAGGGGAAGGTGTCCATTGTTAGCACTGCAGTTCAAAGGGTGCAGCCATGAATTAGCATTTCCTGTGGTGATCACTAAAGGTGGTGCTCTGGTTTAGTTTCCCCTAAACCCAGAAATCCTTTAGAGCTGTCTCTCAGATTCAGAGTTGAATCAACTTGGCAGGTGTGAAAGAAATGGTGCTGAATTCCTCTGGGCTTTCATCAAGCCCGTGGTCACTTGGAGTGTGTGAACTCTTTGTCCCCATCAAGCTGCCCAGAACAGAGGAACATCTGCAATGATATGGGAAGCACAAGTCTGAGCACTGCCATCCTTTGGGAATCCATGTTTAATTTCCTGTGTTTTGGGGATCTGCATACTCTGGGGTTCGTGCTCCTTTCCCCAGCAGTGGTTTAACTTCTTGTTTCCAACTCTCCGTGGAGGTGGTGGAAGAAACAACAGCAGCAGCAGCAGCAGCTCTCCTGCCCTCCCAGCCCGTGGAATACCACCGAGGGGTTGGAACAAGACTTCAAGCATTTGAATATTGTTACAAGTGCTTGATACACTTCCCTGGCTGAGTCTGTGTCAGTTACTGAAAATGAGGAGTCAACCCTTTGTTCCTTCATTTAGTGGTTTCTGGCTAAAGCCTTTAATTTTATGGCTCCTACTGGAATAATTATTTTGGTTTGCAATTTCTTTTGTTTGTTTTGTTTCTTGTTTTGGTTTGGTTTTTTGCCCTTTTTTTTTTTTTTTTTATTGCTCAGAGCACAGCTCTCCTTTAAAAGGATTTTCTTGTTTATTTTATCTGGGTTTTTACTCATACCTTTCTGTGTTATCATGAAAGCCTTGCTTGATGAGAACAAGTGTGTAAAAGTGCTCTGGAGAGGAGCTCTGCCCAGATTTTCCTTTATATGCCTTGCTAGTCCATACTGTTGATCTGGTCTGCGTTATCTTCTATCCACAGCTCCACCTTTCTATGCCTTTCCATCGAAAAAAAAAACCCAAAACCTTTATTTGCATACAGTGAAGGCCCCAAAACTATGACCTGGATCGCAGGCGAGATAAATGGGGACTTCTGTTGCTAGCCTTTGGAGAAAATAAATAATAAAAATAAAAATAGAAGGGCGCCCCTACCCCCCCCCCCGTGAGAGGGGAATGGTATCGCCGAGCGCCCGGAGGGGCGGGGCCACCGGAGGGGCGGGGCGGGGGAACCCGATGGGACCGGGGGTGCAGGGATGGCACAGGGTGTGCGGGGTCAGTCAGGGTGTGCGGGG